AAGATAATTCAGTTGGTAAAGGCACTTACTGACAAGCCTGATGACTTGAGTTCACAAAGTGATCCTGGAATCCACAAAGTGGAAGGAGAGAATCTCACAAGTTGTTCTCTGACGTCTGCATGTCTACTATAACAGGAACAGACACACACACACACACACACACACACACAATACAGAATTTCAAAGACAAAAGATCTTGGGTAAAACCAAGCAGAGAGAGATAAATCAATATTTCAGACTCAAGGCTGGAATACACCACAGTCATGAAATGCTCACCAGGTTGAAATTATCGATGAAACTGGAGAAGATATTTGGAGCAAAGTCCCCTGCCCATGCTGTTGTGGGCCCTCGTCAGCCCCTGCCATACCCTGGCCTGTCAGCCAATCAGGCATCCGTGCCTGACCCTGCGGGAGTGTCCCTGCCCCCGCCCTGATCACATGGCTGACCGCTACTGAACCCCAGAAGTCAATCTCCAGTGCCCCAAATACTGCTCAGCCTGGAAGCCACAGAAAGCCTTCCTGCCACCCAACAGGAGCCGAGCCAGGGGCTCTGGCCTCCCTGCGATTTGGAGCCTGGTGGCCACTGCTGAGAACACATGGGTAAGTCTGCAGCTTAAAGTGCCATAGACAAAGCATGTTTTTCTGAGGGTGGACTTGGAGTGTTGAGGTGTGATCGTCACACACCTCATCTCCAGAGGAGCCCTGGGTGTCTGACTTTCCTTTGAAGATGATGCTGTATTCATTCTTCTAGTGCCTTGAGTTCACTGGTTTGGGGTGTGAATTCTCCAAATGAATGGAGGGGAGCGGAGACGCTTGTGCCCTCAGAACCCTGGTGTGTCACTTCAGCTTGCTTCCGTCTGGTGGAAAAAGTCTCTTTCACTTCTAGGCCTGTACATTTCCGTCTGTCTTTACGATGCTTCTGAGCCTGGCAAGACTTTAGCACCCAGAAGCCCGAGGCTTGCCTCTCCTCCGCCCGAGAGTTGGAGGGAAATAGATTGCTACTGTTAGTATAACACCGGGGATGGAGAAAGAATTGCTAACTTTTCGTTCTGTATTTTTGTTTCTAGGTTGTGGGTATGGCACCTGCCAGTTGCTCAGGGACATTTCATTTTCTTGTCTTCCTCTCTTCTGGAGTCTAGGAGTTTGCTTGGCAGGCCTTAGCAACACACGAGCCTCCGGTTGGAAGGTGGCCTTTCTCTGGCTTCTTTGTTTGGTTTGGTTTGTTTGAGCCAGGGTTTCATGTGTCCTAGGCTGTCCTGGAACTGGCTATGTAGCACAGGCTGGTCCTGAACTCCTGATCCTCCTGCCTCCATCTCTGAAGTGCGGAGATGGCAGGCATGTGCATCCATGTCCACCCTCCTTTGTCTAGTGTCCCGCTCAGCTCCCCAAGGCCAGCATGGCCCTGTGTGGGGTTTATCAAGTCATTAGGTAAAATCATCCAGGTTGTACCAGAGGCTCACCAGACGCTGTGCTGTCTGGTTTAACATTCTTATCCATAAAGGTCAAAGGGCTTAAAAGACAGGTGGAAGAAAAAACTCGTAGATGGCAGAGCAGCGAGCGTCGTGCGAGCGTTCTCTAGGTAGTTCATGTCCAGAGCCGTGGCTGCCTAGCACTGAGGACAAATCAGCATCCTTTGCCTTTCTTCCCTAATAATCAGACTGTTTCATCCCGATTACGTCTGGTCCTCTGGTGCACAGATCTGAGCGGGTTTGCCTGAATCGATGTGCCCTGTGCATGGGGCAGGGCAGCGGGCATTTAGCTGGCAGATGATTCTGCCACTAGGGTTTTGGTGGTCCAGAGGTGCTGTACATCTTTGGGGCTGGCTAGTTCACCATGTCCAGCTACACTGGACATAAAGGCTGCTTGGGTGGGGCACTCTGGGTGTCTGTGTGCCAGGGTATCACTGACTCAGCCCCTCAAGTTCAGAGTATCTATCTTGCCAGGAAGGTTTTAGATTATTCTTGAGGATCCTGGATTCTGGGCTGGCAGCAGGGACATGGAAAGGTGCTGGCCAACATCTCGGAAGAAAAGAAAACTTGGCCTGAACTGGGAGTCATGCTCAAGGCCAAGGTGATTTGGGATCCAAAGTGGATGGGGAAATGGTGGTACTCTAGTTGGGCAAGGAAGGGTCTGGAGATAGGAAAGAGCTGTCCTTGCAGGCTCTTCCCTTTGCCGTAAGCCAGGGGCCATTGCCGTAGGTTTTGTGGTAACATATCACAGTGGGTGGTTGTAGGGGTTCGTACTCTAATCAACGGGAGGTGTTGAGAGACAGAGTCGGCTCATATAGGGCCCTGGGCTGCGGTGAGGCTGGAATTCAGCCAGCCCCCAGGGAGAGCCTGGAGCCCCAAAGCGGGAGACTGGCAGAAGCCTATGCCAGACCCCTCCCCTCACTCCTCTTCTTTCTCTTCCCTCCCCCTCCGTTCTCTCCCATTCTTCCCATCCCTTTCTCCCCTGGGCTTAGGAATCAGAAAGAATTCAGTTTGAATCCTGGTTCCACGAGAGCTGGCTCTGTGACTTGGGACAACTGATTTAACTCTCCTTGTTGCTGTTTCTTCCTCTTTTTTTCAGTGTGTGTGTGTGTGTGTGTGTGTGTGTGTGTGTGTGTGTGTGCGCCTCTGCGTGTGTGCATTCGCATATCAAGCTCAAAGCCATTGTGGGATACATGAGATGCTGTCTCAGGAGAGAAAGGAAGGTAGACATTTAGATAAAAGTACAGACACTAAAAGGGAGAGAGCTGCCCGATACAATTTAAAATATGAAAGTATTTAATTCATCATCATCATCATCATCATCATCATCATCATCATCATCATCATCTTCCATGTGTGCTGTTCACTTGTCATGCCAGTCTGCAGAGGTCAGGGACGACTCTGTGGAGTCAGTTCTCTCTCTCCACCTTTTTGTGGATTTGGGGCATCGAACTCAGTCCCTGGGCTTTGGGAGCAATGCTTTTACCCAGAGGTCATCTCACTGGTCACCATGGGATTTTAGATGGCTCATTTTAAAGGTAAATTGTTCACGATTCATGCTAGGAATTCATGCTAGGAATCCAGGAGTGGGCTGGGATTTTCTGAGAGCAGGGTTTACCCTTCATTTTTGTTCTTAAGTGGGGCTTTCCAGATGCGTTATGATGTCAAGATTCCTATCAGCAGAGGGCAGTTTTGCAAAGCTGATAAGATGGAGATGTCACCACAGTGAGGTGAAGGGGAGCTAGCAGACACCCTGGAGCTCTGTCACCCAGCTTGCCCTCCCACCAGCCCCGAGACTCCTTGCCACTGGCCTTTTCTTCTAGCTCTCCTTCTCTCCATCCCCCAAGACCGTTATTTCCACCAGTAGTGTTCAGAGTACTTAACAACCAATATGGCATCGACGCTGGCCTGTCATAACGGACAGCCGGATCAGGGAGACTACACACCAGCCATCAAACGTATAGAAAACAGCCCAAGAGATGTCACACTTGTTGGCACAATCGGTCCATTCTGTTTTGTTACTGTTGTTTGTTTTTGAGACAGGGTCTCACTATACAGCCCTAGCTTGGCCTGGAATTTACGGTGTAGACCAGGCTGCCCTCCCACGTAGAGCTCTGCCTGCCTCTGCTCCTGAGGCCTGGAGTGAAAGGTATGTTGCCAAGCAGGGCTCTTGTTAGTTGTTTCCTATTGTGCAAACGATTTTGAACGTGCAGGATGCCGTGGAGAACACACCAGGTGTGGTGGTGAACACCTTTAATCCCAGCACTCAAGAGGAAGAGGTAGGAGTGTCTCTGTGAGTCAGAGACTAGCTTGGTCTACACAGCAAACTTCAGGCCAGCTAGTGCTACATAGCGAGACCCTGTCTCAAAACAATAACAACAGAATAAAACTGGAAAAAAAATAACGGCGAACCTTTTGTACCAGTAACTCATAGCTATTGATCAATTCAGGTGTTCAAAATCTTGTAATGTCAACTTGAACACTTCTGTTATTTTTATGATAGAAGTATATTTTTAGAAACCTTAAGGTTAAGAACTCTGTATAGTTCCCAAAACAGACAATCTGGGTTTGAATTTCTCTTTCTCTAGTTTAATAGTAATTTAAATTCTTAGTACCTCAGTTCCATATCTGTATAACGGTACTGATATGGTTGGATGTGAAGCTGGAGATTAATGCCTTTAATCCCACTACTTGGGAGGCAGAGGCAGGCAGATCTCTGAGTTCCAGACCAACCTTGTCTAAACAGTGAATTTCAGGTCAGTCAGGGCTATACACAAACTTTGTCTCAAAATAAATCAATTAATTTTAAGTGGCTGGGTGGTAGTGGCACTCACCTTTGATCCCAGCACTCAGGAGGCAGAGGCAGGTGGATCTCTGTGAGTTCAAGGCCAGCCTGGTCTACAGAGCGAGTTCCAGGAGAGCCAGGGCTACACAGAGAAACCCTGTCTCAAACAAACAAGAAAAGATAGGCAAGGCTCTGGGCTGTATTCTCCACAGAGTAAATTAATACTGATACTAACGCTATAGCATTGATGAGACAATTCTGTTAAGTCAGACAAGGCGGCAAGCACTCAAAATATTGCCTATTAATGGTAGCCATTATCATCTTTATTTTATTTTTTAATTTTATTTTATATCATGTGTGTATGTGTTCTAGTAAACATGCATATGAATCTGTTGTACATGTGTAGGCCAAAGGTTAACCCAGGGTACCATTCCTCAGCATGTGTTTTGAGACAAGCTTTCTCATTTTTACCTGGAATTCTCAAATTCAGCTAGGCTGGCTGGCCAATGAGGCCCATGGATCCCTCTGTCTCCAATTCTCCATCACTGGAATTACAGATGTGCATCACCACATCTGGCTTTTTTTCCCCCTCAAGACAGGGTTTCTCTGTGTAGTTTTGGTGCCTGTCCTGGATCTCTCTCTGTAGCCCAGGCTGGCCTCGAACTCAAAGAGATCTGCCTGGCTCTGCCTCCCGAGTGCTGGGATTAGACATGAGCCACCACTGCCCAGCTTCACATCTAGCTTTTTAAAAGTGGGTTCTGGGGAGCAAACTCTGCTGGCAAGGCAAGACTTCACCGACAGCCATCTCCCTGGCCCCCTGCGCGTTTAATGTTCTGAAGCTGTGCTCATCTTTTCCTTCGCAGGGATGAAGGTGGAAGAGAAGGCTGGGGACAGAAAGCTGGATCCTACAATCTACAGGAGGAGACAGCCAGGCCAAGGTGATAGCACTTGGAAAACCTGATGTGACTCCCACGTGGGCCTGAGAATTCCTTGAGTGCCACCATATCAGCACTCCTAACTGGAGCCTGAAGAGAGCTGTCTCTTCCCTTCACTCTTGGCAGTGTGTCCGAGACGCTGGTGGGACCAGTCTACCGTGTCCTGGCAGGCATGTCCAACCCAGGCTCACAGGCGACTAAGTAGCTGACTGACCCAACCCCAAACCATTAGCTTACTTTAAAAACATTAGGATGGTCAGGTGTTTACGGCACATGCCTTTACTCCCAGCACTTGGGAGCCAGAGCAGGCAGATCTTGGAGTTCCAGGCCAGGTTGGTCTACAGAGCGAGTTCTAGGACAGCCAGGACTAGCACGCACGCGCGCACACACACACACACACACACCATCTCAAAAAGACCAACCCCCCAAAAAAAAAGAAAAGAAAAGAAAAGAAATGATGGGCTGGGATAAAGCCTTTGCTGTTTGCTATGTGAGTGAAAAGCAGTTTAGTTCTCCAGAACACACGTAAATGTTGGGTGCCAGCGTAGACATCTGTAATTTCAGCCCTTGGAAGGAAGAAACAGGCAGGCTGGCCAGGTACACCAGTCCAGTCACCCAGCTCCGGTGCCTGAATGAATACCAGGAGAGTAATCGAGGAAGACATCTGACATCCATCTTGGCCTTCCACAAGCGCACAGTGTGTGCCTTCACATGAGCCCACACATGTGAACATGTGCACATGCCACCACCACCCCAGACAATTTTTTGACATTATTATTATTATTATTATTTGTAACTCAGTTGTGCAGTTTCTGAGGTGTGAACTTTGTAGTTGACAGTGTCAGGTCACACTGATAAACTACTGAACTGAACATGTCTCTAGGAACCGCATGACTGGGCATTTGGTCTGGGTGGATTAGGGCAGAGTTTCCCCCAACATAAAGCCATTGAATTTACCAGTGCTCCCAGCTATGATCAATGGCAGATACCAACATTTCGCAGATTCTGGAAACAGCAGTTCAGTTAGAACCTGCATGAGCGGCTGCAGGGATGTTGCTGTTGGTGCAGAATTGCTGGCTCCGAGCCCCGAAGTCTGTGGTGAACGGCCCCTTAAGAACAGGCTTAACAACATGTGATGTGATTTTTTTTTTCAACTGTGTGTCTGTTTGTAGTTCTGGGTACATGCAGGTGCAGATGCCCTCAGAGTCCGGAGTAGGGTATCAGGCCCCCTGGAGCTGAAATTACAGGCAGGTTATTGTGAGCTGTCTGTATGGGTGTTGGGAACCAAATTCAGCTCTTTATCAGCAGCATGTGATCTGAACTTCGGAGCCATGATGTTTTGGTTTTACAACGATGGGAAAAGAGAAGCATGCAGAAGAAAGCATGCTTCAAGTTTTGAATTTGGATTTATTTCCTGGGCTTGCTGACTGTCATGGCTGGGGAGAGGCAAGCATGAGAGATCCCACCCCCACCCAGTGTGTGCATTCGAACAGAACTCTTCCCAGCACCTGCTGGGTTGGTTCACAGGGAGAACTCTGTCTCCCCGAGTGTTGAGTGTTGGGACTTTGGTTCTATCCAGGGAGCCCACGTCTTCCATATTGCTTCTGAAGCTGTCTCCGTGACTGGGTTAGTCACTGCCTCCCCTCTCTGCGCTGTTTCCACAGATTTCCCTTCGATACACATTGGGTTTCCAGTGCCCAGTTGCTCTCAAAGGAAAAGTGACTCAAAGGGACATCTTTCAGGCCTGCAAAAAGTCCAGTGGGTCCTGCAGCCAGACAAACCACAGCAGGAGCTGCTTGGCCCAGGGCTCAGGGCCAGCAGCCGGGGAGGCGGCGTGGATTTTACCAAAAGGACCCGTAAGTTCTTTCGAGGGCATGTTCTGGAGAGCCAGCCCGCGGGTGGGCACAGAGTGGCCAGGTGGGGGTTCTCTGTAGAATATGGGCGGCATTCCGTGGGCTCGGCGCCGACTCTCAAGGCCCCACTGCTCCTTCCCTCTCACGGACACAGCGTGCAGTCAGTGTACACTAACCTGAAGCTCGCTATCCTTTCTCTGTGACGTGGAGAGCTGTGCTCTGGGCTGGAGGTATGGCTCGGAGCACTTGCCCAGCACGCATGAAGCTCTGGGTTCAGTGGCCGGCACGTGAGCCAGGCATGGTGGTCATGTGTTTGTAGCTCCAGCACGGTGTGTATGTGTGTGTGTGTGTGTGTGTGTGTGTATGTTCGTGTTTTCTCCTGGTTGAGGTTTGCAGAGGATTTTCATTGGACGCGGCCCCACCCACTTGCGGCCCCACCCACTTGCGGCCCCACCTACTTGCTTCTGTTACCTGCACTTTTGGTGTCAGATCCCAAGAATCACCAGTGGTACCATTGTCAAGGAGATCACTCTCACAGGGCGCACACCTTTAATCCCAGCATTTGAGAGACAGAGCCAGGTGGATCTCTGTGAGTTGGAGGCCAGCCTGGTCTACAGAGTGAGATCCAGGACAGGCACCAAAACTACACGGAGAAACCCTGTCTCGAAAATCAAAAAGAAAAAAAGAAAAAGATTACCCTCTATGTTGGAGGGGGAGTTTTGTGGCATGGGAATGTAAAAAGTATTTTTACATTTATTTTGGGGGTGGAGGTTTGTGTAGTGATGAAAGCGTGGAGTTCAGAGGACAACTTGTGGGAGTCAGTTCTCTCCTTCCATCACGTGAGAACAGGGAGCTGGGGTCAAGCTCGGGTGGTTGACCCCTGAGCCCTCCCTCCAGCGCCTGGTTTGGAAGTTTTGCTCTGGAGTCGTTAATGTATTTTGAGACAGTTCTTGTGGCTGGCACAGGGCATCTGGTTTCATGCTTTTGCAATGAGTATCCGTTGTTTACCAATACTGATTAACAACGTGACTCCTCTCCACATTGTATATTCCTGCCGCCCGGTTAAATACCAGCTGACCCCGCCTGCAGGGTTCGCTTCTAGACGCTCCTGTTTCCTTTGTCCCATGGCTAAGTGTCTGCTGTGTTCTATGTGGTTGTTTGCCAGGACTGTGCTGCTTCCATCTACTGAGGCTCTGTGGCACTATTTGAAGCAGACAGCATGATCGTCTTAGTTAATCCTGACATCACCTTGAGAGAGAGGTGTATCATTACCCCGTACTTATGCTAGGAAACCAAAGTTCAAAGACATGAAGCATGATACAGCCTGCAATCAGGGAAGCTGGGAAATTACCAGCTGACTCCAAAGCCTGTGTGAATGTGACTCTTCCTCGGTGGTTAGTCACCATGCTAGATGGGGGGACAGATTAAAGCCTTCCAAGTAGCCAAACTGGCTTATGGTGAAAGGGAATGGCTGGCTGGAAATAAAGGGAAATACTGGCAGAGTCTCTTCTTCCCTCCCTCCTTCCCCCCTCTCTTCTCCCTTACCTTTCTCTTAGTGTGATATAATTTAGGAACTCGATTTTCATAGGTTGTTCAAGCTGCATTCAGGCCTAGAATGTGAGATGATGATAACCCTCAAGCCACAATGAGCATGGATAAGAGACACACTTTCTGCCCAGGAAAAGAAGCATTTTCCTCATCTTAGAATCTCTTGAGAGGTCATAGAAGCAAGAGCCTTAGATGCACGAATTCACCTCCACTCTACTCAGCTGCCAATGAGAACTTGACCCAAGACCCAGTCAGATGGGGTAGGCCTGACCCAGGATGTCCCAGCATCCAGTACCCTCGTCTGTAGGTGGAAGGCTCTGGTGGAGGGCCATCTGCCCCAGTCTTCTCAGGGTGGAAGTATTTCTAGGGATGAGGGAGGCAGGACTACCAGCATTAAAATCATGACTATTCCAGGTGAACTGGATGGCTGGTCACACCAGACTATCAGGGTTACCAAAGAAGATACAAACAGATAAAATGCTTGACTCAGTCCATTGTGCCTAGTCAGCTCTCAGCATCTGTTGGGACACTTACACACGTTAACCCACACTAAGAGCACAGAGCCCAAGTCTTTTCCTCCATGAGCAGACATTTTTCTGGCTTGGTCAGCCTTACTGCTGCTGAGATGCTTGTAAACTCCTTCTGATGGGAGGGGACAAGGAAAAATTTGAAGCCATCTTCTGTTTACTGGGTATTGAACTGTTATAAGGCCATTAAAAAACCCCAAACTGGGGCTGATGAGATGGCTCAGCAAATAAGAGCTGGCTGCTCTTCCAGAGGCCCTGGGTTTGATTCCCAGCCCCCATGTGGTGGCTCACACTTGTCTGTATTCAATGCCCTCTTCTGCATCTGCAGGCACCAGGCATGCACCTGGTGTACAGACATACATGTAGACAAAACACCCATACACATACAATAAAATAATGATTAAAAAGAAAGCAAAGATCAAAACCACTCCAGGATAAGTGGCAGAGGAGAAGAAAGGCCATTTCCTATATAGATGCTGAGCCTCAGAGACCCAAGACTTTAGAATCAAGAGAAGAAAGGCCATTTCCTATATAGATGCTGA